TTTCGTAACCCTTCTGACTGCAGGATAATTTTATTAACAACTTTTGTACTGCAGAAATCGAAGTCTAACAAGTCCTCGGGTTCTTGAGTGTTTATCTTGCACACTGTCACTACACCTCCTTCTTCCAAGAACAGCATCAAGGGATAACCGTAACCACGATAACACATCTTAAGGGCTGTTGATGTTCCTGAAAAAGAGAATGAAATTTACATTCTTCAGAGAGCTAGCTAGCACATCTGATCACTTTAGAAAGTTCACATTTTACTGCTATACAGGGCACAGATCAATTTGATTTAGCATGTTTGGTCCAGCTTCCAACAGACCAATGTAGCATGCTTAATGCAGCCTCCTAAGGACCACATGAAGTGCAAAATGAATTTATCTGTCTGTAGATGCCAGTTTGAATCCTACTTGTGTCATGTGCCAAACAGGTCACACTAGCTGTGACAATGAAGCTGGATATGCTACAAATACATAAGTGGCACTGGAAAATCCTCCATGGTCCTGAGGCTTTCTCTGGCTCATATCATCTTTCTTTACTGCTCTTACTTGCACAACCCAAACTGAAGTTTAACACAATTTAGCCTGCATTACATTTTGCTGGGTAATCATAATCTGAACATTTGCTTTCCTAAAATCAGGATGCTGTTTAGTATAGTTGACTTAGGTCTTTAGGTCAGAGTCACAACAGAAACAGCAGAGGAATGCAGAGTTCAACACACAGCTGCAATGTTAGAACTACTCAAAAAACCTGTCATGGTATCACTCTACTGCACACGAGTACACAGTGCTTATTTACCGTCATGCTAATATGTAGTTATTTTGTTTGTGAAAATAATTTTTTAAAACCACCAAGAAGAAAAAAAAAGTAATTTATAGGAAATAAAATTCACCAAGACCTGGATTTGGGTTTTTTTGCTCTCTTTAAACAGATCAGTTCACGTAATTCAACATTTGTACACATGGGAAGGCAGCTTCCCATGCACCTCTGTCACTGAAAAGACTACAAACAAGATCAATAGTGGAGTCTTCCTGATTGTTGTGATTCACACACTTGATAAAGAAAATCTGAAGTGTGTGTACAGCACCTGAAACACTACCCAATCCAGCTGCAGATTTGTGAGACTGTAGGTGAGTACAATTCCTCAGTACCTTATCTGCAAACTGGAGATAACATTCACAAAACAGATGCAGCTGCAGCCTGAAGAAGGGAAGGAACGGAAGGTGCAACGTAACAGCTATTCCACTGGGAGCAACAGCACCGATAGTGCTGCCTGGAATCCATGCAGACTTCAAGCCCAGAACATGTCCTAATTCCTTGTTAATATGCTTGTTAGTATTTCTGAGGTAGCTGGATGTTCCAGGGCTGCATAAACCACAGAAATACTGGAGAAGAGATCACATTTATTATCAAGCTGATACAATTTTTTTTGTTACCAAGACAAACTCCAAGCTATGTGTATACTGTCTTCCAGTGTGCTGATTTCTACTGCAGCTCACAGTATTTAGTCAGCCTGAGTCCCCTGTGAGGCTAATGTGGATCCCCTGTGGCCTTAAGATGTACTGACAGTTTTCCTGCTTTTTCATCTGACAGTGACAGCTCTGGTAAGAGGCTGAACCCTTGCCCAAGCAGTAGTTTTAGCCTGAGGCTGAGGGTACGTGCAGCCTGCCCTGCTGACCACTTAAAAGCATGTGAAAGTGTGTAGCACGCTCCTTTACTAAAGGAAAAGTGGTGCTCTCTACATCCATACTAACTACCCTGGATGGGCTGCAGAGGAACTATTCTGCCAGCTGTGCCCACATTTTTCCCTTAAGTGAAGGGCACATGGACATGTTTGCATGTATGTTATGCGGATGATCTGCCCCAGACTTAAAACAGATCAACAGGAAAGGCAGTTGCAGCATGGGTGAGTCCTAGGGCACAGTACTGGCCTCAGAGTAACAACTCCAGCCTAAACATCACCCAACTTGCCAGAGATGCCTGAACAAATTACTTGACATGTTTCCTTATCGAGAGAAACTATTTGGACCTTCAGTCCCAAACAGAGCTAGGATACAAACTGCAGCTGTGCACTGGACGTCATGCCACAAAAGGGTTCTCTCCCAAAACAAGCAGTTCTTTTGTGCCTTACACAGATCCAGAAAACATTATCTTCACAAGAAGAATACCCTATTTCTCAGCTACCCCAACAGCATCACAGAGACACATCACAGTGCACGCTTGTTTTAGCTTAAAGATCCTGCTTAACAGCAATAGCTGCCATACTCAGAAGGACTGAAGCTGAGGTCAGACTTTTTGTCAAGGCTCGAAGTCTCTCTATGCCTACGTACAGGTTTCGCTACATGATTACATGTGATGCACACACACTGTCAAGGTAAATATGAGCCATACCTGGCAAAGAACTGGTATCAAAAATAGTCAGGCAGTCAAGAAGAACAGACAAATTGATCCGGAATGTCACTGTTTGCTCCTGGACAGCAAATTCCTGAAAAATTTCTGCCTGTAAGAGATGAAAAGAGGGAATTTTCTGTAATTATTTTACCATTTACGCATATTTCCTTCAATTCAGTGCTTTCACTTTCAGAAATCAGTGCAATACAAAGTATTTCCTACAAAGTAACACAACCATCAATTGAAGAAAAATAGGTCTTCCACCTCAAAACTAGTAAAATCAGGACACAGCCGAAACAAAGTAGCTTGGCATAAGCATGAAAACCTAAACACTTCCCTTTCAAAGTTCACAAACAAACTACAAATGTTAAAGCCTAAAGCTGCCTCGTTCTGGAGCTGAAACATTCAGGCAAATATATCATATGTAACACTTGTGTGACTTTTCTTCACCCCGAGCATGAACAAATATTCAATAAAAATAAGGAAGAAAGGAACAGAATAGCAAGTTCACAACATTGAAACATGTGCTGGAACGTGCCTTGGACTAGCCTGATAGGGGTAAACTACTCTAGGCTACCCCATTTGCTACTGGGCACTAGCTGCTTTGTGGTAAGTGAAAGAACACAGTATCTCGGAAGCAAAGCAGGGTGACGTGAGCTACTTTTGAACAAGCTGTTACATGATTTTACTGACAGCCAAGACAGCAAACCCCATCCTGGGGTGCATCTGGCACAGCATCACCAGCCGGTCAGCAGGGGTGATTCTCCCACTGTATTCAGAGTTGGTGCAGCCTCACCTGGAGCACTGTGGGCAGCGCTGGGACCCACCATTAAAAAGGAGGTGAAGGTCTTGAACGTGTCCACAGGAGGCAACAGAGCTGGTGACAGAACTGGAAGGAAATGTCCTGTGAGGAGTGGCTGAGGGCTCTGGGCTTGCCTAGCTTGGAGAGGAGGAGGCTGAGGGGTGACCTCCTTGATCTCCTACAGCTTCCTGAGGAGGGGAAGAGGCAGGTGCTGAGCTGTGCTCCCTGGTACCCAGTGACAGGACACATGGGTATGGTTCAAAGCTGCACCAGGAGAGGTTCAGACTGGACATCAGGAAGCATTTTCTTTACCAAGAGGGAGGTCAAACACTGGAACAGGTTTCCTGGAGAGGTGGTCGATGCCCCAAGCCTGTCAGTATTTAAGAGACATTTGGACAATGCCCTTAACAACAGGCTTTAATGTTTGGTCAGCCCAGAAGTGATCAGTGCTAGTGACCAAACCACTGTTTGGTCAGGCCAGAAGTGATCAGCAGTCAGATAATTGTTGTAGGTCCCTTCCAACAGAAACTATTCTATTCTATACTTAACACCTCAACACTCCCAAAGGAACCTCCAGTCACTGTTCCTCTGCTCCTGCCCACATGCGCCCATTACTTAGCTTCCAGTAGCACATGCTGGCCAGTTCATGAACCAGCTTCAGCCACTCAAACAGCAGAAAGCTAACCAAACAAATACAGCACTAGCGTAAAGAAGGACTGCATAGCAAAGAGCAGGAGAAAGCAAGGGGAGATGCAGGAACAGGGAGACTCAGGCTTCTCCCTTTCCACACACACCTCAGACTGCAGTTTCAGAGACAGCAAAGACACTGATGCTGAAGGACAGAAGAATGGTAAAGCTAGGTTTGAGTTACTGCAACAAAATATTCCTCATCCTTTCCACTTACATCCCCAGTATCACACATACTTTCAAAAACAGGACCCAGTGCCAACGCCTGTTCTTGAAGCATTTACAAGTCAGATATGCCTTAAATAATAACAAATACAATCACCTGAAAGTAAACCATTGTTAGAAGAATTACAAATAAAAGTGCACCTTAAAAAAAGAAAATTAAAAGTAAAGCCAGCAGTCATAGCTACAGAAGAGGTAGCAGAAGAGCAAGCAAAGCTGCTTTTGATCTTATATTAGATGCCCTATTAAATACAAGTCACTTAGGTTGCTATTTAAAGTTGCCTGCATGGACACGGAGAGGTGAGATCCTCCATCTATGGTAACTTCCCGAGCGCCTTTCCTGGACTAAGCACAGGCAGAACCAGAGAGTAGAAGGCTCAGATTCTGTGATGGAGCCCTGCGGCTGGAAGCTCTCAGCTCAGCCCAGCCGACGCGCTGTAGATGGGTGTCTGAATTTGTGCCCTCTTTCGAAGCGGACAGAACTCACTTCGCCTCCACGGCCCGGACACCTCAGGAATGACCACAGCTCTTCCCTCACGGCTCCCGCTGTCGTGCCCCCCGTCAGCGGAGCTCCCCCGCTCCTCCTCTACCCTGAAACAGGGATGGGGGTTCCCTGCGGCTTCCGCAGCCGCTCCGCAACGTCCGCAGCATCCCACCTGGATGAAGGCGTTGGCCTGGATGCACTTGGCGTCCTCCACCGTCACCCTCAGCCCATGGCTCGTGGCGAAGCAGGTGGCGTGGTCCTGGAAGTGGACGGCCCTGAGGAGGCTGGAGAGGTGCCGGGCGTTGTCCAGGCTGGCGGACAACACGTACAGCTCCGCGCCGCCGGCCTCCTGCGTAGTCACCGGCATGCCGCCCCCTTCACCGCACCGGAACCGGAAAGGCTGCTGGAGCGCGGGCGGAAGTGAAGCGCGGCACTGCGTGGTGTGCCCGAAATGGCGGCGGCCAAGAGGAAGCGTGCGGGCCCTGCGGAGCGGCCGGCGAAGCGGGCCAAGGCGGCGCCGAGCGCGGCCGAGCCGGGAGACTCGGCGGCACCGGAGGAGTACAGGATCCCGCCGCCGGTGTCACAGGTACCCGCGGCGGGGGGTGCCGGGGGCCCACTGCTCGGCCGGGTTGGAGGGTCTGATGCGTGGCTTCTTTGTGGCGTTAAAGTACGAGAAGAGTGTTGTTCTGGTGGATGGTTTGTCCCTGCCTGTGGCAGGGGGTTGGGACTAGATGATCTTTAAGGTCCTTTCCAACACGAGCCATTCTGCGATGCTATGATTCACTCGAAAGCGAATTTTAAGTACACAGAGGTATTTTGAACACTCGGATAATCCTGTTATATCCAAAAAGTAGATGGGAGGTTTGCCTTTCTCATTTAGGAACCGCCCTAAGGGGGTGTTAGTAATTTCTTTGCAGTTTGTTTAAAATTAACCCAAAAAGTAGCACACGGAAGTCTGAGATTTCATCACATGCTCATATGTAGAACACCTGAATTGTGCTCTGAGGCTGCAGCTCGGCTCCCGTAGCGGGGGGGGGGGTGACTTTCGTGTGTAAGCAGTGCATGTGGAGTACTTGCATGTTTTGTATGAATCAGAAGCTTTCTATGCGAACATACTGTAGCAGGATAGATGACATCTTAATGTAAAAACGTAGGCCCCTGTGTTCTGTTCTGCTGCAAGAGTGATTCTGTTCAGATTGAGCAGATAATATTAATAGCAAATGTTTTTGCTGTGTTTTTTTGTAATTAGAGTTCAAACCTTTAGTGTTGCTGTGTTGTAGTTTTAAGGCTGGAAACTTCCTGCTTAAGTTTCGTTCTTTTTTTTTTTTTCCTAGGGTAAATGGAAGAACAAGGAACGAGTGCTTATTTTTTCTTCTCGTGGTATTAATTTCAGAACAAGGCACCTAATGCAAGACCTGAGGACATTGATGCCTCATTCTAAAGCAGGTGAGGCATCCTTCCTAACTTACATTTTCAGGTTAGTTTTAAACCAAGAACTCTTAACAACCTGTTCTTTTTAAAACTGTGGTACATAACTGGTTTGACGAACTTATACTTGAAACAATAAACCTCTTTTGCACCAACACAGCAGCTGTCGTTATATCTTAATATTTCCTGAGAAATGACTCCTGTGACCTCAATCCTGTAAGTGCATAAATACTTTTGATGCAATGTTTATTTCTGGTATAACATGTCTGAGACAACTTGATAGTTAATCTTTCATTTATAGCAGTAATTTTTTTGCAATAGGAAGAAGGAACTGCTAAAAAAATTGCTTGTGTTAAATTGCTTTTGTTGCCTTCTTAATGTTTTTCTTGTCTTCCAGATACTAAAATGGACCGTAAAGACCAGTTATTTGTAATTAACGAGGTAATCCAGGATTTAACCAATGCTGCTTTTTTTTTTTCCTCTGGAAATCCAATGTGCAAGAAAAAAGGGCAACCAATTTCATGAATTAAAATTACAGATACTCAAAAAGTGCTCATGTTAAAACAGGAAGTGACTTTTGATTAGTGAAACCTCAAACATATACATTTGTCATGAAGAAGTAAAGCAGAATGTGTTTTTCAGTATACATGAAAGATATATTACAGTTTATACTTGGGGAAAGCAGGGAACAAATATCCAGCCAGGCCAAACAATGTAGGATGACCGTAGTTCTGAAACTAGAACCTAACTTCACAGCTCCTGCTCTAATGTGTATATCCTGGAGATCTTACCGGGTTGCTTATAGCTTTAATGAAGTTATTACTCCTGGTAATAAATATGTGTGATTTTTCAACGAGTGCTTCGGTTTAAAAATGGGGATCAGTATTAAGATGAGACCTTTGCTTTTAAACTTACGTTTTGGAGGGGGGGAAGATATTGGAGATTAATGTGGAAAGTTTTTTAAAACGTCTTTAGAAGTTTGTAAGCAGCTAATTTGGTGTATCTCATATAGGTGTGTGAAATGAAAAACTGCAATAAATGCATTTTTTTTGAAGCCAAAAAGAAACAGGATCTCTATATGTGGTAAGGAAATCTTATGTTTTCTTACATTTCCATGTATAGCTGGGGATGCTCCCTTGTACCTGAAGTTTTTTACTGCAATAGTGAAGATGTGCGAAGTAGTGTTAGCTGAATCCGTACTAATCTCGCACTTCTGTGAGTAGTGCAAGTTTACAATGCATGACCAGCTTTTACAGACGTCATAGAAGCACTTTACAAAGATGTTAACAAAGCAAGTATTTGTAAGTATGTTAAAGGAACTCAGTAATGCTGCAAAAGCAACTGAAACTACTTCAGTACAGCAATGACTGGTTGGAGTGCACTGTAGAAATCTGGTGTACCTTCTGGTTGCTGTTAATGTTTTTCTTTTCTGTCTTCCCCACCACCTGCCATCTACAGGCTTTCAAATACACCACAGGGACCATCAGCTAAATTCTTAGTGCAAAATGGTAAGTTGGCTGACATTATTGCATTTGGACTTTTACTTTCTTTTTTTGTACAGTTTTATGTAAGTATTAAAATGATCTTTTTTTAAAAAATTCACTGTAGTTCACACTCTGGCTGAATTGAAGATGACAGGAAACTGCCTCAGGGGCTCACGGCCCCTTTTGTCTTTTGATCCAGTAAGTATAGGTTTTATTTCATTGAGTGCTTCAATGAGTATTTCATTTTGGGGTTTGTCCTGGGTTTAGCAGTAGCTGCACCAGCTACCAAGAAGGAGAAAAATTGACTGCTACTGCTAAACCCAGGACAGGGTTTTTTGCATGGCTGTTGCATTTAGCTTTGTATGTAAAATTACTTTTTTTCTTTGTAGATATTTGACAAAGAGCCACATTATGCCCTGCTAAAAGAATTGTTTATTCAGGTCAGTCTGTAGTTCTGCTGTCCAGTGTTCCTTCCTCATTGGAAATGTTTTTTGGCAAAGTATTTTAAAATATCAAGTGTTTTTTTTTAAATAGTAGTTTTATACTTACAAACTTGCAGAAAATCTGCAAAGCATTAGGGTCATGTGCTTAAAATCATGGGGACACTTTTTCATGACTTTAGAGTTCTGAAATGTAACCTGGGATCAGGATCTTGGAAAACCAAAATTAATTAAACATGATCCGTTTATGTTGGGTGTCTTTAAATACAGATAATAAGAAATACTGCATTTCATTACAGATATTTAGTACACCACAGTATCACCCCAAAAGTCAGCCTTTTGTAGATCATGTTTTCACCTTCACTGTCACAGATGAGAGGATCTGGTTTCGGAATTACCAGGTAAGTGGTCTCTTCTAGCTCCTCAAGAGGAGCTCAATGGAGTAGTTTCATATCAAACCCACTAATTACAGTAAAATGAGAAGTATCCTTATTGTCAGGATATGCCAGCAAATAGTGCTTGCAGCAGGTAATCTTGGTGTCCTAAAATGACTTCTGTAGTTCTGGAGAGAACTGTTATAAGTTCTGTGTACTTCAGCTTCCGTTCTGTTAGCTGTGATTCTGTGATACTTGTCTCAGTCATGGCGAGTACTAGCTGAAGCCTAAGCTTTGCTTACCTTTTAACTTCACTTGCTGCTTTGACACAAAGTGTGCTGGAGCTTAGTTTTTAAAGGGAGGCTTCACTGCTACTCTCTAAAGGCTTGCTTGAAGCTGAAGAACTGCTTTATATATAAAATTGTGTCTAGCTTATCATGTTCAGTGGCATTGTATCTTGGATTTAAATTCAGTTGTGTATCACCATATGCAAGGTGCTTACAGGGGTCATTACTTTGATTAGATATATAAATGAAGAAAGTATTCTTATTGCAGATAATAGAAGAAGATGCATCTCTAGTAGAAATTGGGCCTCGTTTTGTCCTGAATCTCATAAAAATCTTCCAAGGTAGCTTTGGAGGACCAACTCTGTATGAAAATCCCCATTACCAGTCCCCAAATATGGTAAGCAGCTTTATTTTTGTCTTCTCTTTCATTTAGAAATTAACTTGAAAGCCAGTCTGTAGTCTGCAGGAGAATCATGTATACCTCTCCCTGGAATCTGTTGTAGAACAAAAGTGCCTTAACTGATCCTAATTTGAGAACACGGTCAATGAAAGATGGCATTACATTGAGGATTATGACAGTTAAGCAGAGAAATTACCACCTGTTTCTTCAATACCTGATTTCTTCCATTTACTTACTTGAAACCTGATGAAATTCAAATTCTTATTTTCGTAGCATCGACGGCTGGTAAGATTATCAGTGGCGGCTAAGTTTAGAGAGAAACAGCACGTGAAGGAAGTACAAAAGATTAAGAAGCAAGAGAGTAAGGTGCTTATTAAAGAAGATCCCACTGAAGTGGTCTTTGAAATTCCAGCTGAAGAAAAGCCAGTGGAAATACAGCTTGTGAAACCAGAGTCAAAGCCAATTGTTAAAGATAAAAAGAAGCTACGCAAAATTCAGAGGAAGAAGCAGAAAAAGCTTTTCAGAACTGAGGCATCAGCTTAAATGTTAAAAATGTTGAAACCCATTATATTGACATAATATTGTAAATACTTGTTGTTTACTTGTTTTTACAGGCAAAACCAACAACTTCAGTTTTAAGTAAACAGAGTATCATTTTATTAGGATGTTTGCACTCGTTTACTGTCTTCATTTCTTTGAGGGGTTTATGGGTTTTGAAAAGCAAGCCAGGGAACAGGGAAAGAGAATGAGACACTCCAAATATTTCTGTGTTTGAGAACTGGCCTCTTATACTTGAAGACCTATGGGAAACTGCTCACTGAAACATGTACGAAGAATACAAATAACTGGGTAGTCACTGGTGTTCATCATGAATGAATTCAAAGGCCAGCTTTCCTAGTCTGACAGCAGTAGAAAACTTAGAAATTTGAACTACTGGAATTTTGTCTTGGGGAATAGTGTTAATATTTTTAATCTTCATAATTCCTAGGGAGTGCAGACGTTTGTGACCTTGCCATTACTTACTTATAGTAAAAAATCTGCTGCTTTTGCCTGTGGTAGCTCCTATACCTAATCAGATTCTGAGGACTTGAAATGTAGCTAAAGGGGAGAAGCAGGCTAACAGAATTCTAGCCCTTGATACCAAATTCATTGCAAGAGGTACATGCTACCCATGATTTGGTATCAAAACTATACACCTTCAGTAGCCTGAAACAGAATTGCCCATGATTCTGTTACAACAACAGTGCTTTAAAAGCACAGAATTCCATACTTTTAGACATGCAACAAACTTTTTTACAAAAATGCTGTCCTCTTGGTTCAGTTGTATGCTGTTTAGGTTGTGTGAGTCTATACAGATTTTTTTCCATATAAAATCAAGTAAGCTTCCACTATTATTTGAAAGTGATTACAACCAAAAGCTTTGATTTTTCTCATGGATAATGTCTGTACTCTAAATGCAGCACACTCATGAGCAGCAGAAAATACAGGGTTTGGTTCACTGTAGTTCATTGCCTGCTGTCTGACAGTTTACTTGCTTCAGAGCTGCAACATGAAGTCAGCTTTAATTTGGGGCTGTATTCCCTTAAATCTTTCAGGAAATTACTGTCTGGAAGTCTTCCCCTTTGCCAGATGCAGTTAAACGAGTTACTATTATTCTCTTAAACTGGGGAAAGGAGTGTAAAACTACTCTTGCAGAAAGTCTAATGGCATCAGCCTCCAACCAGACAAAACCATAATTGGGTGAGAATTTCTCTATAATGGTCTTCAGATGTCTGATTCCAAGAATCTTTTCTTGTCTGATGTTAGCAAAGGTTACTTCGCTATTTCCTGGGGCTATTTCTTCATTACCTGTCTTTATCCTGCTTTCCAGTTTCAGACCTCATGTCCTGTTTTTTCCAGTGGCTGATGCTGTCTCCCTGTCTGCTCCCCCAGCTTCCCAGTGTTCCAGAGTCTTGTTTGTGCCCTGTTTCTATTTGATTCCTCTGCTGGATTCAGCCACTGCTGGTTTGGTGATGAACAGACACAACTGGCAGAAGAGGAAGCTGACCTGTTAAGTGCTAAATTAAATGTTATCCCACCTGGCAGGACAAGGGAAATTCGGTGTCACCTCCGTAACAAGGTGGTCTGTGTGCCATCTGATGGGAAAGAATGGTGAGTACAAGCATCTGCTCAGTTCACATAGTCTAACACAAGAGTCACAGAATATCGAGCTGGAAGGACCTCATGAGTATCATCAGGTCCAACTCCTGCTCCTTGCAGAGCTACCTAACACTAAACCACATTCAAAGATTGTCATCCAGACTCTCCTTGAACTCCACAGGTTTGGTGCTGTGACTATATACCTGAGGAGCCTGTTCCAGGAACTGATCTCCCTCTCAACTATGAACCTTTTCCTAACGTGCAACCTGAACTTCCCCAATAGTATCATGTTTTTAGCCTAGATGGCAGCCAAGCACCACACAGCTGCTTGCTCGCTCCCCTGACTGGGATAAAGACAGTTTTAGTAGGCAAAGCAAAAGGGGCACATGCAAAAAAAACAAAACAAGGACTTAATTCACCACTTCACATAGGCAGGCAGGTGTTCAGCCATCCCCAGGACAGGCAGGCTCTGTCATGTGTAACCATTACTTGGGAAGACAAACACCATAAATCTAAACATCCCCACTTCCTTCTTCTTTCCCCAGCTCTATATGCTGAGCATGACACCACATGGTATGGAATATCCCTTGGGTCAGCTGGGCTCAGCTCCTTCTGCACCCCCAGCCTCCTCACTGGTGTAAGGAGCAGAAAAGACCTGGACTCTATGTAAGTGCTGTTCAGCAGTAACAGAGCCACCTCTGTATTTCCAGCAGAAATCCAAAACATAGCCCTGTAAAAGCTGCTATGAAGAAATTAACTCTTACCCCAGCCAAAACCAGCTCATGTAGCTTCTTCATTCCATTTCCTTGTGTTGTGTCACTGGCCATAAGAGAGAAGAGATCAGATTCTCCCGCTCTGATGCTCCCCTTGAGGAAGGTGTAGGCTGTGATGAGGGCATCCTCAGTCTTCTCTAAGGTGAGCGAGTCAAATGACCTCAGCTACTTCTCCTGTCAAGGCCTCCTTGAGGCCTTTGACTATCTTTGTCATGTTCTTCTGAACATACTCTTAACGGTCTGATGTCCTTGCAGCCCAAAGCTGCACCCACTACTTGAAGTGGGGCTGCACCAGTGCAATGTGGAGCAGGACAGTCACCTCCCTGACCAGCTAGCTGTGCTATGCTTGATTAACCTCAGGGTGCAGTTGAACCTTTTGGCTGCCAGGACACACTGCTGACTCGTATTCAACTTGCTGTCAACCCAAACATTCAGATCTCATTGTCTAATCCAAAACTCAGTTCATGCAGTGCCAACTGACACACATGTAATCTGGAGAATCACAGAACCCCAGGTTGGAAAGGACCTTAAGTATCATCTAACGATTCTATGATTCTATGATCTGGTCCAACCTTTCTAGGCAAGCATGACCTAGGCAAGATGTCCCAGTGCCCTGTCCAGCTGAATCTTAGTGTTGATTTGGAGAAAACTCCAGGAACAAACTTGCCAACAAAGTTTAAGTTGACAAGCAGGTATTCTTTATTGTGGCACCGGGAGACACGGGGGATAGCTCCTCCTAATGTGTGTCCCCATATTGCTACACAGGCTATCCGTATATAGTCACTGGGCATACATACATATTCATGAGGCTACACATGAATTACATAATTTTCCAGAAAGTTTCCTGCATGCATACAAAAATGTGGTGGTGGTTTCTGAGGGTCGTTTACTTCTTCTAACAATCTCCATCACTTCTGGCAGCTTTCGAAGCATGTGCAGTGGATGTTTATACCAGCTTCATTGGTTCGTTAATGCCACAGACATAACAATCATCCTGTCTTTCTACTTATCAGTTAATGTAGCTGCAGCCCATCCTGGACACCTGCTGTTCCCAGATACTCTTTATCCTTACATCCTGTTCTTCTAGCCTGTTTTTTTTACACTCATTTTGTACTAAGGTCGTAAGGGCCTAAAACTATGTTAACTACAATGGTTTATCTTACACAAGAATTCTCAGTACGTTCTCTAGCTGTACTCTTTTTTTTCTGTGAATCGTGCAACTCAGTAATTTTCCATTGCTACTGTTACAAAGCCATCAAACTTAACATTACTTAAAACTGATTCTAAAGGTTTATATATTTCGTTTTGTGATTTTGTGCCCCCCCCCCCCTTCCCACTTTTCTCAGTGTCCAATGCTGGGGAGTCCACTACTTCCCTGGGGAGATTATTCCAATGGTTGATTGTTCTCATTGTGAAAAATTTTCCTCTTGTGTCTAATTGGAATCTCCCTGGAAGTAATTTGTAGCCATTACCTTATCTTTTCCATGTGACTCCTCATAAAAAGAGTCTTCATCTTCTTTGAGGCCAACTTTTAAATGCTGAAACATGGTCATAAGGACTCCCCTCAGCCTTATTTTCCCAATGCTTGAACAAGACCAGCTCTCTCAGCCTTCCCTTACACCACAGGCTGCCCAGTCCTTTGTTCACCTTTGTGGCCCTTCTCTGGAAAAAAAAAAAACAAACGTGGCTTAGGCCAAACCTGAAAACTGAAGATCACAGGTGTCAAAAACCGCCAGCAAACACTGACAACCCAAGGCACGGATCTGCCTTGGCTGTACCTCTAAACTCTCGAGCACTGGTTGATGGAGCTGAACATGAGCAGCTTGTGCGCAGGTGGCCAACAGCATCCTGGCCTGTACCAGCAATAGTGTGGCAGCAGGGCCAGGACAGTGATCATCCCCCTGCACTGGGCACTGGTGAGGCTGCACCTCGAATCCTGTGTTCAGTTCTGGGCCCCTCACTACAGGAGAGACATTGAGGTGCTGGAGTGGGGCCAGGGAAGGGCAATGGAGCTGGTGAAGGGTCTGAAGCACACGTGTGATGGGGAACAGCTGAGGCAACTGGGAGATTTAGTCTGGAGAAGGCTCAGGGGGGATCTTATCCCTCTTATCGCTCTCTACAGCTGCCTGAAAGGAGGTTGTGGTGAGGTGTGGTCGGTCTCTTCTCCCCAGTGACAAGCAATAGGACAAGAAGTAATGGCCTCAAGCTGCACCAGGGGAGATTTAGATTGGATATTAGGGAACATTTATTCACAGAGCAGGTGATCAGGCATTAGAACAGGCTGCTCAGAGCACTGGTGTAATCGGCATCCGTGGTTAAATTGTTCCCCTATAGATGAGCCCCTCAGCGCCATGGTTTAGTGGTGGACTCGGGCAGTCCTAGGGTAACAAATGGTTGGACTTAACCATCTTAAAGGTCTTTTCCAACCTGTCTGGTTCTGTGAGTCACTGAAATGCTAGCACCGGGCACTCGGTGGTGTGACCGCGGGTGACGTGAGGCCGCAGCCCGGAGGAGCGGGCAGCCCCCGCCGGCACCGCACCGCGGGCCCGGGGCCGTCCGAGCCCTGCCGACACCTGCCCCGCCTCTTCTGCTACCCGGCCCGCCCGCCCCGGCAACCCAACCCGCTCGCTCCTCCTGGTGGGTGGGTGCTGTGATGCGAGCGCCGCCGGCCCCGCCTCTACCCGCTGTCCCGTCCGCGCCGGCCGGCCCTTCCCTGCGCACCGAGCCGCCGCCATGAAGTGTCACTACGAGGTGCTGGGAGTGAAGCGCGACGCCGCCGAGGAGGATCTGAAGCGGGCGTACCGCCGGCTGGCGCTGCGCTGGCACCCGGGTACGGCCGCGATGCTCGCACGCAGGCCCCAGGGGAGGGCCCGACCTGCCCCGGTCTCTCTTGCCGCCGTCTGCGGGGGGAGAGGCCCCTTCTCCTCGCGGGTGGCTGCCGTCGTTTGTGCCCGTCGTGTGGCGGGGCCTGCGGGAGACGGGCCGGGCGGCCTGTGGGTATTAGCTGTCGGTACGCTGCTGCCGGGCCTTGAGTTCACAGTGTCCCTTAATTGTTTCATAGATAAAAACCTCGAGAACGCGGAGGAAGCGGCAGAGCAGTTCAAGTTAATCCAGGCAGCGTACGACGTCCTCAGCGACCCCCAGGAAAGAGCCTGGTGAGCAGTGCTTCGGCTGGGAGGAGCCGCTTTCATTCTGCCTGGGACGGGACTTTGGTTCTCGCTGGGCCGCATGGCGTGCCAGCACGTGTCTCTGGGGCAGGAGCAGTGCTTTGGGTTGAGAGCCATGCAGCCCCTCGGGGAGGCACAGCTCCCCCCCGTGCACAACTCGATGGGGAGGCACAGCCCCCCATGCACGCCTCGTTGGGAGGCACAGCCCCCCATGCACGCCTCGATGGGGAGGCACAGCCCCCCATTCACAACTCGATGGGAGGTACAGCCCCCCATGCACGCCTCGATGGGGAGGCACAGCCCCCCCATTCACAACTCGATGGGAGGTACAGCCCCCCCCCCATGCACACCTCGTTGGGAGGCACAGCCCCCATGCAGAACTCGATGGGGAGGCACAGCCCCCCATGCACACCTCGATGGGAGGCACACCCCCTCTCCCCCATGCACACCTCGATGGGGAGGTACAGCCCCCCCCCATGCACACCTCGATGGGAGGCACAGCCCCCCCCCCCCATGCACACCTCGATGGGGAGGCACAGCCCCCCATTCACAACTCGATGGGAGGTACAGCCCCCCCCCCCATGCACACCTCGATGGGGAGGCACAGCCCCCCATTCACAACTCGATGGGAGGTACAGCCCCCCCCCCATGCACGCCTCGATGGGGAGGCACAGCCCCCATGCAGAACTCGATGGGGAGGCACAGCCCCCCATGCACACCTCGATGGGAGGCACACCCCCCCCCCCATGCACACCTCGATGGGGAGGTACAGCCCCCCCCATGCACACCTCGATGGGGAGGCACAGCCCCCCCCCCCCCATGCACAACTCGATGGGGAGGCACAGCCCCCCGTGCACACCTCGATGGGGAGGCACAGTTCCCGCCATACACACCCCTTGTTGGCGAGGCACAGCACAGCCTCACGCACACCCTGGTCTAAGTGTTCTGCATGGTAGTGTTGGGCTGGGCGCTGTGGAGGGCTGTGGGGGACACAGCCACTGTTGGCCTCTGCTTCTCTTCCACAGAGCAGGAGGCAGCCTGCTTGTTGGCATAGGTGCCCCCCTGGTCACAGTCCTGCCAGATTTAGGGGGAAAGAACCAGCACCACGCTAAGTACATGCAGGTGTTTAGGGTGCTGTTGATTGCTGCAGATGGTAAACCTTAATGACAACATGGTGTTGTGTTTCTGTAACAGTCCTGATTTGAAACTCACACACGTCTTCTTAAGAAATCACTGCTTTTTATGTTCTGTGTATCTTGTTTTTCAAATGGGCTAAAGCATCTACCAGATTATCTACCAAAAATGCCTGTACTAAGTTTGTCTTCCCTGGAAGGACTGTTTTGCAATTTTTATATGAAATTTTTGTATGCTAATGTATGATCCAGGGTTTTGGTTTTTTTTAGTGTGTGTAAGTATGGGATGATTTAAATAATGTCCTTCCCATTTCTGAAAGCTGATGGAAGCATCTTGCTCATATGTGTTTGCTAGCTACTCGTTAAGAAATTGCTGCTATTGATAGTGCAGATAAAGTGATAGTGAGAGAATATTCACTTAGCCTGGCTTTTTTTCTCTCTGAAGACTTTGGATATGACACACAAATTAAGAACACTGGGCTAAGCTGTAAATTGGGGTGATGCATGTCCTGCTGAAGTTTGCCAGCACTAGGGAATGTTCTGTGTCTTTACATCCTTGTCACTGTGAATCTTTTTGCCAGGTATGATAATCATAGGGAGGCTTTGTTGAGAGGAGGAGTTGATGGAGACTATCAAGACGATAGTTTAGATCTGCTGCGCTACTTCACTGTTAGCTGTTACTCTGGATATGGAGATGATGAGAAGGTAATGACTTAATAAATTTTTAATGAATCAATTTGAATTTAATGAAAAGTGTTGGCATTTGCTTCACATTGAAGAGCTATGTGTGGAATTGTTGAGCCCAGGTTTTAATAATGTTTGCAGTCTTTGCAAGAAGACTTATGCTGGATGCTTAGGGAAGCTTTAATTCCTGCTTATTATCCAACAGTTACTTAGTCATGATTTCCAACTATACCATACAACTACACTGTGTGTGTATTATTTATGTCATATAGGGAAGCATTGTAAATGCTTCGTAGTACCATCTGTTTATTCAATAATGTCTTCAACAAGCTAGAATACTGCAAACTGGGGGGGGGGGGAACGGACGGACAGACACACAACAAAAAAAAAACAAAACACCACAAAAAAAAAAAACAACAAAAAAACCCAAACAAATAAAAAAACGGACAAAAAACCCACCAAAAAAAGCAATATGACAACAGTCCATGGGGAAGGTGTGCTCCCTATAATTGAATTGCCTGTTGGATTTTGGGATACTCATCATAACTTAAAAAGCTTCAGGTGATTAGAAAGACCTCTGCCAGTGAAAATCCTTATCTGTCTTTGTGTTACTGTGTTAGAAGTGAGTTAGTAACATCTTAATTTAAATAAAGATAGGATACTTAGTAGTGAATTTTATATTTGGAACTTCCTCAGAGCTTGATCCTGGGTAATCAAGAACTGATCAACGTCTGCAGAATGCTGAAACATTTTTTTTTCTGGGGGGAAGAGGGAGGTGTTAGATTTTAATACAGGTTTTTGATGTATGAGAGACTACACAAAGGAGATGGAAATAAAAAGAATGTGAGAGAATGGGAACTTTGTTAATAGAAAGGTCATGTTACCTAGAGCAAGTTCTTAGAAGGTCTTTACCCTGATTTTGAGAGGCTGTTGCACAATAGTAGTATTGCTTTAAAATACACTAATGTGACCGAGCATTTGTACACCTATTACTGGGCTATGCAAAGTGAGTCGTGGTGTTTTTATTTTTAATTTCAGGGATTCTTTACAGTCTATCGAGAAGTTTTTAAAAAGATTGCAAAAGAAGAGGTGGAATATATTACCCGGGAAGATATTGAAGAGTTCCCTATGTTTGGCAATTCCCAAAGTGACTATGATACGGTAAGAGCAAGTGTAAATCTGAACTGAAAGTAGCACAGTTAAGTCATGACTTTGTCTTACACTGAAATCAGAGGAAAGGCTTCTGCTGGTCTCTGAGGTGAATACAAAACCATGTATCTGCTGTCTTTCCTAGTACTGTAGATCAGTACTATAAAGGAAGTGCTTGTGTTCTGATTCATAATAATTAGATGAGCTAAAATAGGTATTTCCTGCTGGACTATATTATTAACCAGCATTTTTGGGTAGGTTGTTAAGACAAACACTTCACAGGGCTAAAAACTACGCCAGTGAAACTTATGTGTAGTGCAAGGCTTATAAAACAAAAGAACAAATGTTTTCTTTGCTTCCTGATGAGAATAGTTTTCCAGTGTTTCAATGCAAGTTACGTTACAGAAAGGGGTATTGAGACAATTTTTGTTGTTTTAATAATACATAGTATCCTGCCTCATTTAGGAAAACTGCATAGCACTTATTGCATAACACTGCCTTTACCAAATGCCAGATGTGATGACTGACCTGCAGTGTGAGCTCCCACAATCATGCTCTTTGTCATCTACAGTTAATTCTGTAGTAAGATTTACTTTCCAAAACATTGCATGCTTTCCTCTGGGAAGCAAGAAAAGAAAATGTGTCTGGGACACTTGAATTCTTGTCATCTGGTTTGCCAGCTATTTGTTGCATTCTGCCAGACTTCCTTTTTTTTTGTTTTTTAAGTTTACCAGTATTCCTGTGTTGAAATTAAATAGTAAAATAGTGGCCCTTTCCCCAGTTAGTAACTGCACTTATCAATGTACTCAGTTACTGTTCATGGCTGCTACTTAACACTTGTCACTTTTAGTAGAATGACGAATATGTATGAAATTTAAATTGATGCATACCTTAAAAATAAGTGGTATAAAACGTGGCTGTAGTTAGAAACAAAGTTATAAATCAGTCTAAGCAGCATCAGAATGGGTGTTTGAATGTCAAATAAAATTACAGGATGACTTAATAAATGGTAGTCTTTCCCAGAGAGAATATTTGTCTCTTTGAAACTGCTAAAATCTGTTTTTAATTGAGTTCTCTTGAAACTGCTTGCTTTTAGGCTGTTGTATAGATACAATTATAGGCCCAAATGAGCTTTTATGCTTTGACACCTGTGTTGTTAATTTTGTCCTAGAATCAGCTGTTATGTGTAATTTGAGGGGTTTTTTGCGTTTGTTGTTTTACCAAGAAGGGAAAAAAAAAAAAAAAAAGATTTGTAGTGTATTTTATGTGAAATAGCACAGTTAAATGTGAAGGTCATTATCCCTATTAAAGTGTATTCACATAAAGACATTACACTGTCAGAGGATTTGAGCATTGCAGTGTTCGCTTCACTACTCAATGGGAGTATCATGGGAAGAGGAAAAAGAGTTTTAGAAAGAAGCCACAAAAACTCTGTGGAGGCTTCAGAACCTGTGATGTGAATGCTCTCTGTCTCGGTCTACTGAGATAATTCACAAGAAGCTTGAGAGGCGGCTTGATGAATGCCAAGTGTCCAGGGGAGATATTCTTTAGTCTGTGATATCGCAAGAATTCATGGGAAGAGACTTGTAGTTCAGTTAGATGCAGAAACAAAAGTAATCAGTAGTAGCAGACAAAACAAAATCTGCTGGACAGTTCAGCAAGAGCTGCTGTACAGCTTCTGGAGAAACATGCTTGTTTTTCAGGTAGCTGCTGAGGAGGAGGAAAGTCGTTAGCTCAGCAGCTGGTGGAGGGGAGAATGGTCCCTGTCATCAGTTGATGGCTGTGTGTCCTTTTGCACAGAAGGTACCCCCTTCTGAAGCAGAAATCTGAGATGGGGAGTCTCTCTTAGGTTATTGGATTAAATATAAATAATTATTGGTTAATAACTGCCATGAACGTTTCCATGTAGGTAGACCATTAGAAATTAAATGAGATGTTGATAGTCCATTCTAATACCAATGGCAGGAGGAGAATAGGATATTAGAAGAAGAGATACTAAACTATTAGGTTAAATACTTCTGTGAGATATTCCAAATATGAACAGTAGTGCATATAGAAGTAAGTAGTAAAAAGGCAGCTTAATAGGGTAAGTAATGTGAGAGTTTAGGCATATCTTTTTTCCTGAATGTACAAAATGCAGAAGGTTAGTAATTATTTGCAGAGGAACAGAGAACAAACCATAACATAATTATTATGCCATTTTATTAATCTGTAATTTAATTTACGAACAGTAAAAGGAAGGAAAATAAGGGAAGAAAATAATTTCTTTTAATGTGAGATTCTCTTAATCACATTTCTTTTAATGTGAGAGCTAGAGGGGATCACTTTAACCTGTGGTCATATAATTTGCTAACAAAATAAGAGTATGTGCATCTTGGCATAGCCCCTTGTTAAACTGTGCAAGTCATGGCTCCATGCTGTTGTGTGCGCCAACAGCTTGCATGGATTAATAAAAGAAATATTAAATTCAGGAAAGAAAAAGACATCGTGGGCTATCAATTTCTGTCTTGCTCTGGAAGCAGAGAGAATCTACAGGGAAGAAGTAGCATTATGTACATGTATTTGTTTTATTGTGCTGATCATTGGCTGCTGTTGGAAATGTATGGCTGACCTTTCATAATTTATATTAAATTATATATAATTTAATATAAATTATTCTTAGGGTTCTTATGCAATATGTGCATATGCCTGCTTGTGGACATCAAGTCTGATAATGGTTGTGCTTTTCAGTTTGAGAGGAGAAGCACAGCTAAATAACTGGGTATTAATGTCAGCACGATCCAATCCTGCAAGGAGATATTCTTTAGAAGTTGTAGTTTGGAATAGTTTAGACAAGGCTGTTGATTTGGCATGGTTTGAAATTTTAAGGATGCTAATAGAGTTTTCTCTAAACTTTCATGTGATATTTGTATACTCTGAGGGAAAACTGTGGCCTGTATAGAAGACACAAGCTGCTACCAAAGTCCTGAATTGTTTGATATGATTTTTGTCGTGCCCTCTCTTCCCCTCTCCCCCCTCCACACAAATGACTTTTTTTGTTTGTTTCTTACAGGTAGTCCACCCTTTCTATGCATATTGGCAGAGTTTCTGTACTCAGAAGAACTTTGCTTGGAAAGAAGAATATGACACACGACAAGCCTCAAACCGCTGGGAGAAACGAGCTATGGAAAAAGAGAACAAGAAAAAGAGAGATAAAGCCAGGAAAGAGAGGAATGAACTGATCCGTCAGCTAGTAGCCTTTATTCGTAAAAGGGATAAAAGAGTACAAGCTCATAGAAAACTTGTGGAAGAACAAAATGCAGAAAAAACTAGAAAATCAGAGGAATTTCGGAGGAAGCAGAAGCTCAAACAAGCCAAGTATGTAAATGTGAAACAAATCTTTTCTTTTAAACTTGGAGAAACTATCCATGATTATACCATACAGAGTTAGATTCTAATGCTAGCTCCACTTGCTCTTTTGAGCATCCTTGAAAATGTTATATGTTGGTTTTGGTCTCAAGTCTGAGCTTTTTAAAACTGGAGTGTCTCTGCATTGTACTGACATAAAGAAATCTAACGTACCAGGTAATGATAATCAGGTAATTGCCTGTAGTAGCACAGAATCTGTGTGCTTTTACTTACCTGGGGAAGTAAGATTTAATAGTTACCATTATTCCCTTAAAGAAAAAAGGATGTATGTTTTGGAATAAGGGAGGAAGAACAGGACCGTGACATCCTGGACTTAGTCAGCTTCATCTGCTTTAATGAAGAAAGTACCTGCTAAAAAGAAAGTAGGAAAATATCACTTAGTTTTAATTTTTCTTTTAACTCTTTAGAGAGAACCCTTTCATAGAACTAAATGCATTTTTTTTTGATGCTTTTATTTTTCCCAAAGTTATGTAACAGGAAGAAGTGATCTCTCCAATGTAAGCACAGTTTATTCTTCCAACTAGAAGAGGTTTTTGTGTGCAAATGGAAGAAGCTTAAATTCTTAATGAGTGCACTTTAAAAATAATTGCATATTGATTAAAAAAATAATTATATATATATATATATTTCTCCCTGCTGTCCCCAAGGAAGAATGAAACAGAGTGATACACTTACTGACAAATAGCTTGATAATTTGGAGTCCAGGAGGCAGCTGGAGTAAAATTCAGCTGTACTGAGGTGTACTGTTTGACAGCTTGGGCCACATGTTTATTTGGAAAACTGTGCTGACACTTTCCTGCAGAGCAGAGCCAAGGAGTAATGTGCTTGTGGCTTTTGTGAGCCTGTACTAGTTGTACGTTGCATCAGGTAAAAGCAGCTGTACTGCTCTGAGGATTGACCTGACTTCCCTGCTGTCAGCCTGATAACTGCCATACTGCGTAACATTTCCTGCCTGAAATTAGAGCAAGACCAACCTACATCAATACCTTTTTACTTGTTTTGTAGATGTGCCCATTGGCATCACAAATTAACTGCTCAGATTTCCAGGCCCTACAGACAATTGTTTGCTCCACCATATTATATTGAGGACTTTCCTCCTAAAATGCCAGAGAAGTTATATTTTAAATAATACTGTTTCTGTAATTACCACCTCATAAGCACAATGCAAAAGTTAATATATTATTCTACCTAAAGGCTGGCTGAGCAATACAAAGAGCAAAGCTGGATAACTATGTCAGATCTGGAGAAGGAGTTGCAAGAGATGGAGGCACAATATGAAAAGGAATTTGGAGACGGATCAAGTGATGAGGAGGAATTAGAAGAACAGGAGACAAAAGGCATTGAAGGTATGGGGTATGAGTGGGTGATCTATATTGAGTTACTGCAGGCAGAGTGTTGGCTTACTGCACTTACAGCTGCAGATTCACAGTTCTAACTGTAGTGCAACTCCCTGCCTGCAGCTGAGATGTGCCAGGCTAGTGTCTGACAGCTCTGGTGCCTTCCATGAGAATCCATCAAGCTACAGCTGTTAATTTATGCTAATATATGATTTGGTAAGATGGTCTTGGGCTGTCTGCATGTCAGTAATACAGGAAAAGTTGAGGGTCATTGTGGTGACTTTTCTGGAGCTTTAAGAGCAGCTTACTCAGAAATTGCTCATCTGACTTTGTCTCTCTGATCCCCACTGATCTCAGAGAAACTGAATGACGAAATTGAAGAAGCTGAATTTGTTGATGGTCTGTACTGCCCTGCTTGTGACAAGTTGTTAAAAACCGAGAAAGCGTAAGTGCTTGTGGTTGGGGATTTGGGGGCGGGAGTGTTGGGTTTTAACAATGCATTAACTTCGCATAAGGGTCAGTGTTGTCTTTCCAGCAGAGACATTGTCAGGGCAGAGTTTTCCATGCTTAGTAGTGATGGATAATAGGCCTGTTATTCATTTATATGTAAATATAGCAGTGTTTGCTCAGAGCCATCTGCAGTAACAATCTGCTACTCCTCACAGCATGAAGAATCATGAAAAGTCAAAGAAGCATCGAGAGATGGTGGCACTGTTACGACAGCAACTGGAAGAAGAAGAAGGGAAATTTCCTGTGTCTTTGGATGATGCATGTGAAATACATACCAAAGAGGAAGAAACAGAAGACATGCCCAAGCAGAAGTACTTTAAATTGGTTTTAATTTTATAATGACTAATGATTTAGTAAGTCTTGGAGGCTCTCAGAGGGAGCTTCTTATGATTTATAGGTGTGCTGGAACTCACAGTATTCTGCAGTTTAAAACATTTCTTAGCATCAGAGTTCCAGTAAAATGCCTGCATTAGTATGACTGGATTGAAATACTGTAGAATAATAGTCTAGTATTTTCTCTGCTTAAAGTTAGATATGAAGGGAAAGTACCGATTGTTATTTTTCACAGAGGGGAACTTGCACAGGCCCAGTGTTTAGTGATTTGGTACTCTTTTTGGTACTTCATGTCAGCTGAATGCTGGCTTAGAAACTGAGTGTGCTTAAAATCGGAATTGATGAAGTATGTTGCCCAGCTTCATTTTTTGAATGGCCAAAGAATAATGCCAGCTACCTAACTAGTACCTTCAAGTTAGAATAGAATAGTTAGGGTTGGAAAGGACCTTAAGGTCATCAAGTTCAGTCTGAGCAGAATAAATGTTTTACAAAATGCCATGAGTAGTTTAGGAGATCTGCTGTTTTAGTTTCAGGCATGAGTAACTTTCTGTTTGTGGCTACTGTCCACCTGATACCATGGTTCGGAGGATAAGCAAAAATGTAACTTGGTACCTTCTTAGAAACTGTACTTGTTTTGGAGCTTATTTTTGAAAAGAGGTAATTTTAAATTCTTATTTTTACAGACTCTCAAAGAAGCAGAGGAAGAAACAGAAAACAATGGTGGTATGTAGTCATATAATGATATCCAGGAAACTTTACAGCCCAGTTTTGTTATCTCCTAATTTAACTTTTGTCTTGAAAAACAGGGAAATACTTGAAATTGTACATAACTTGAAGAGCTGGTATAATGTATGTTTTGTTGATCTCTAATTAGGGAGGAATAACATTTAGTTGGCATCCTACTGACACTGTAGTTTTTGGAACGAACACATCCATTCCACGTTCACTTGAATTGTAAACATCAGTAACACCAATCTGTTGTACTCCAGGATCTGAGTCTGCATGATATGACAGATCTGTGCCTGACAGCAGCAGAGTGAAATTCGAGAACTGCAAGCTATTTGAGGCTTGAGTGGCAGGAGTACCATAGTGAGCAAACTCTTGCTGCTTTCCTCATGCTTGATCCTTACCTCTTCTTACCTTACTCTTACTCCTTTTCTCTCCTTACTACTTCGATCCTAGCCTTGCCCCTGTGAGCTACTCGGTCCTGCCTCTTCCATTCTTTCCTGAGATGGTCTTCTGTCTTCCCCAGCCTAATCCCTCTAACCTCCTATTATGTGTTCACCTTCTGTGCCCTCTCCCACACCATCATTATCCCTCATCCTTTAGAAACTTCCTGAAATTCTCAACCAACTGCATTTTTCTTGTTCTCTTGGCCGGTATTGCACAGTCCAAGTCAGTATTGGCTTGACCTTCTTGTTTCCATCCAGGCCATCAGGCTGCTGCTCAACTCTTCCCTCCTCAGTTTGAAGTCAGCGTCCTGTTCTCGCTTTAGAGGTTGCATATGGGCGCTGTGTGTGTCTGCCCTCAGTTTAGTCATGAGACCTTCTGCAGTTCAAAGCGCAGACAGTAGGTGTCAGTCTTGCATAGCATGAGCTGTAATCTTGTGCTGAGACTCTTCTGGAAACATAACTTCCAGCCTCTGCCAAGCTTTATGGAATCCTGGGAATTGCTATGTGTTTTGTTTTCCTTTCCTGAGGGTAGTTTAACCTTTTGTTTTTTTGTTTTTTTGTTTTTTTTAAATTCCAGGTGGCTGAGACTCTGCAAAAGATGCTAGAGGTGGTAGTTACATTAATGTAGTGCTTGGGAGCTGAGCTGTTTTGTTTTAGATGTGCTCAGGGATTGATCTTTTGCCAAACAGCATGTATTGAGTTTACTCTGTCTTCTGGTATGTGGGAAAGGCTGCCACTGTTTCTAATGTTAGGGAGGGAAAATGGAGTGTGTTTATCTAGCCTCAGTCAGGTCAGTTATTTTGGCTTAAGTGTCCTAACACAGGTTTCTGGCACAGAAAACTTCAGTCTAACTAATTAACATTTTGCAAGGTTATGAGCAAAGACACTAACTTGTAATGTGAAGCGGCAGCCCAAACAGAATGACCCCTGTGTATAATTAAAAGCTACCTTCATTCTCCTCTCCTCTAATTTTAGGGGCTGTTTTATTGGTGTTTCTTCCCTTCATCATAGGTGGCTTCATCTTTCAAAACATGAGAACTAAGGTTTTACCAGTTACAGTCTCATTGAAAACACACAGTAAAATTAAGAGGGTCCATGGCTTTCTGTTCTCCCCACCCAACCATGTTTGAGGTAAATAAGTATAATACTATAAACATAATCACTAATTAGCTTAAAGTAGTTAATTTGCATGTCTTTTGTTTGGACAGACTTACGAGGACTCTCTTGATAAAAGCGCTGATGAAGAAACAGTTGAACGAAAGGAGGTGCACGATGTGGACAAGGACAGTGGCTCAGCAGAGGAGCTGGTGAATGATGGCCAAAGATGTGCTGTGTCAGAGGACGCAAGTGCTACAGAAGATGTCAGCCAAGTGGATGAAGCAAGAAGTGAAGCTAAAAGGTGTGCTGACTTCCAGTGTTGCAGTCAGTGTGTCACTATCTATTTTGGTACTTTCAAACCAGTCTAGATTTACCCACCAATGTGAACTGGGGGCTGCTCCACTAAATCAGAGCTGAATAAATATGGTACTTAACAAGGAGTGCTAGGACCTGCTTTGAAAATGGCATTTGCCTGCACATCCCTGCCACATCACTTACCAGTAGCCAGTTAATCACCTAACTGAATCTTGAGAATGACAACCGATTGTATAAGTTAAATAGCTTTATTTATTTTTTTTTTCTGGAAGCGCTTGCTTTGTGTTGTGTGAAGGAAGAACAGGGAGATGCTGATGATTGAAAACCATCAGAAGCTCTTAAATATTGAATGTTCCTGTGCACTGATCTTGTTTTCTCTTTGTCTTATCAGCAGTACTAAACCTAAAGGGAAGAAAGCCAAGGAAGCAAAAAAGTCTGCTAAGGCATCTTCAGAGCACCCAACAACAGTATGTCAAACTATTTATGCTATTTAAAACTTGGTGGTCATATTACTACAAACAGGGTTAGTTGGTTGGTTGATCACCTCCAGCCCACAAATTTCTGCTCCTTGTAGAAGACAAGCTGCTTTTGTCCTTTCAGAGAAGAGTGGACTCTGTTTCAGTTCTAAGAGAAGCTAAAGCTCTCTATCCAAGACAGTTCAAACCAAACAAACTAAACACCTGAAAACCGAACTGTTGTCATCAGGCAGGTGGTGGGTAGTACTATCTGTATCTTTCCCAATATTGATGTTTCCCGGAAAGAGAAATATCTTGTAATAACTACAGCTAAGACACACTAAATTCTCTAAATCAGAGCCCAAGTGTTGTGTATATAGTAAGGTAACACAAAAAGTATTCTCTAGCTTAAATGATTTGCAAGGTTTCTATTTCTTGTTCTGGGTTCTATGTAGTACTCTTTGAAATTTCAAGAAGTTACACTTGAGATCTAAAAAACCCCAAACGTATTTAATCGTTAATCAGTTATGGAATGTCTGATAGAAACAGCGTATTTGCATCTCATTGTCCAAGAGAAGCTGCATGCAACAAATAGGTGTATTATGTTTATTATGTCCTCCATCCAAATGTGAAGTTTTTTTTTCCTTTTTTGCTCATTGCAGAATGAAGTTCCTATCCACTGCGTCACCTGCAACTGTGCATTTCCATCCCGAAATAAACTGTTTGAACACCTGAAAGCCACAGGACATGCAAAAGCCACACAAGCAGCAGCTGTAAATGGAGCTGTAAACACCAGAAACAAAAAAGAGAAACGTAAAACCAGATAGAACTTTTTTGTAGTGGCAGTCTACAGAATCATACATGAGTGCTGTCCTGGAGCAGAGAGGTGACATTGATTGTGTCTGGAGTTGAACAGAGAAGGCAAGTCCTAATTTTGGGGAAAAAAAAGGAAGATGAAACATAAAGAATAGTATCTTTTGAAGAAACCTGTGCTTGGTTTTGGGTACATCAGCCTTTTCTTTAATGACTGCGTTTGACTTGTCATCTCAGCAGCTTTTACAAGGGGGTTGGGGAAGTGGTAATTCAAATTGACCTTGTGTTCTTGTAGAAACATGCCCAGATAAAGTGCCCACAGAGAGGGCTTATCGTTTTAACACTCGTGTTGCTGCTTTTCTTTAGAGGGCTTAGCTCAGGGTGAGTGCAGCAGGCAGAAGGGACTGTGCTGCTTTGGTCATCTGTCAAAGATGAAATATAGTGCAAGGTCCTACACCTGGTTCAGAGCAATCCCAGGCACAGCTACAGGTTGGGCAGAGAAGAGATTCAGAGCAGCCCTTTGGAGAAGGACTTGGGGGTGTTGGTTGATGAGAAAATGAACATGAGCCGGCTTCAGTGTGTGCTCGCAGCCCAGAAAGCCAACCGTATCCTGGGCTGCATCAAAAGGAGTGTGACCAGCAGGTCGAAGGAGGTGATCCTGCCCCTCTACTCTGCTCTCGTGAGACCTCACCTGGAGTATTGTGTGCAGTTCTGGTGTCCTCAACATAAAAAGGACATGGAACTGTTGGAACAAGTCCAGAGGAGGCCACGAGGATGATCAGGGGACTGGAGCACCTCCTGTATGAAGACAGGCTGAGAAAGTTGGGGCTGTTCAGCCTGGAGAAGAGAAGGCTGTGTGGAGACCTCATAGCAGCCTTCCAGTATCTGAATGGGGCCTATAGGGATGCTGGGGAGGGACTCTTCATTAGGGACTGTAGTGACAGGACAAGGGGTAATGGGTTCAAACTTAAACAGGGGAAGTTTAGATTGGATATAAGGAGGAAATTCTTTACTGTGAGGGTGGTGAGGCACTGGAATGGGTTGCCCAGGGAAGTTGTGAATGCTCCATCCCTGGCAGTGTTCAAGGCTGGGTTGGACAGAGCCTTGCGTGGGGCATGGTTTAGCGTGAGGTGTCCCTGCCCATGGCAGTGGGTTTGGAACTTGATGATCTTAAGGTCCTTTCCAACCCTAACTGTTCTGTGATTCTATGAAATGTCACCCCAACATGGGGCTTTTCTTCTGCCCTCCCCAAGGAGAGGAGTACTTTCGAAGTAATTAATTACAATAAACAGCAGATGAAAGGGAAAGAGTAAGGCGTCTAAGTTGGTTAATCAGCTTTGACAATTCCTGTCGGTTTTGTACCTGCATGCCAGGGTGTTGGGTGGAAAAAAATTGCTAGTAGAACCTTGCTGAGAGAAGTGAAGGCAGAAATGAGTGACATGAATAAATGAATTTGTTCTGTTGTTTTTCTAATGAGAAACATGGGAGTTGTTATTGCACCTCTGTTTAAAATGCATGTCTACGTGGTGGGGATAACAAGCACCTCATTTTGCCATGGTGGTGGATTTTACAAGGCTGTTGTTAATGTAGATGATGAGAGTGGTACTCCGTGTAGTATGTTGTTTAGAAAGCTCCTATGGTGAAGTTTTGCAGAAGCACTGGTCTTGCATTAACTAAGTTCTAAAGTTTAAACCTGTCACGCAGAGTGGCAAAACCGTCTCCTTCCCCCACATGTTGACAGGATGCCTTTATTGGGTCAAGGCTTTTTAAACTTTGAATGAAAGTGAAATGGTAAATGTTCCTGCTGACTGTTCACAATGCCTTTTGTTGGTTTTTGTCTTTTTTTTTTTTTTTTTTTTGAAACCAAAGCAAGGAATGAACTGATGATTTAAAAAAGGAAAAAGGTGATTAAGTAAGAAAGAAACATGGCATCTTATTTCAGCAGTCAGAATTTGTATCTTTGCTAAATGACTAATGGAGGGGCCGTGCAATCCTGAAAGCAGCAGGAGAAAAAAAAGGCGTGTTTTAGAGAGGATGATAACTGGGTTAGAGGCATGTGATACAAATAATTACTGTAATTAGAAACTACACCTTTGTGCAAACATTGTGGTTTTTTCATGCTCTAATTACAGTGTATAGTTGTAATAAGGGTAAATAGTTTTAAGTGTGAAATTTCCAGTTGTGTTCTAAACAGGGTATTTCTCAGCCAGAGATTGTCTATGCTCATGCAAGTGAAATCTCACAGACTAAACCCTGCAGTATTACTTTTTGACTTCTATTCTTATTTAAATAAAACTAAATACTTTGTGTGTTTTACGAGTGCTTGTATGTATTGGGTGTAAATGGTGAGGTTTTGGTTGCAGGGGCAGTGGCAGCAGCAGTCAGGTTCCAGCCAGCTCTGCAGCACCGCGCAGCTATGCTCAGCCATTCAGGAGCGTGTGGTACTTCTGTGAAAACATCCATTAGAACGGTCTGTGAACGCCATGGTACAAAGGAGTGTGGCCAGGGCAGCAGCAGCCATCCCACTGCAGTCCCCAAGGGATCCATACATGCCATACTCCAAGCAGCATTTTTCCTCCAAACAACTTTATTGTTTTTCTTTGTCACTCTATGAAAATTACTGATTTTTAGGTGATATTCATAGATGAAAGATGAATGTATGTCTGCCTCTTCATCTGATACCAAATTAATCCTAATAGGGTTTTTTTCTGACATTATGCTAATGTCAGAATTGATGTGCAGCTAATGCACACCACCACTGTAGACTGAGCCATATGATTACAAAACAGATTAGAGTGTATTCTTTATTAAACACTGTATCTGTCAGACTGCTCTTAGAATACTGAACAAGTATTAATCTTCAGAATACAATTTTCTTATGCAGTGTAGATTAGTGATGAGTCCGGGTGGCAATTATCAGGGGATCTGTGTTCATCTCATGTAAGGAAACAAATCAAGTCTGTTTTGCAGCTGCTCTTTCCATGTGTCTCTGTAAAGCAGTGTCAAATACTTCCACAGCAAAGTCGACATCCTTTTTAGTAATGCACATCGGAGGTTTAAATCTAAATGTCTGAGAGAGGGAAAGAAGGAAAAAAAAAAAAGAAATCCTTAATACTGTATGGAAATAACACAGTTTCTACGAGCCCATCCAGGTCAGCACTCACTTTCTGCCCCTCAGTCTAACTCTAAGTGTGAAAAATTATACGAGACCCACAGAGCAGGGACTGAAGCTTCTGATCAATGCACTCTGAAGTGGAACAGTTTTGGACTTGACTGCATCCAACACTTCTGACAAAGCAACTGCCTCCAACAAAGACTTGACTAGAGTCGGTCGTGGTTGCAGCTCTGTTATGCCAGACAGAGCTAGTATAAAACCTTAGATAGGTTTGTACTAAGAAAGAACAGAGACGTGGATGTATGTTCCTTTCTGGCAGCTTTGCCACAGGGAAAAGTAGTATCTGTGGAGAGTGTCAGCCTCTTGCATTGTGTCAAGTGATTTCCTGTTGTATTCGCAGTTATTAAGGCCTCTAAACATGCAAGAGTCTAGCATGAAAGAATTGCTAGACACAAACTTTCAGTAAGGGTACTATAGCTTGAATGCACATTGACCAGGAAAGGATATATGCACAGTTCAACTTGTCAAGAAGGGAGGTTCTTAAATCCAAATGTTTAATCTATATTATAATGTTTCCAAGAGTATTTAACTTACGTAAGAATCTTAAAGCTTTCAGTTTAAATTCTTGTCATCATATCACAGAACCTTATGCAGAAAGAGTGGGATAACAGTCTTTCCCACCCACAGCCTCAGCCTCAGCTAACACTCACAGATAAACAGCACTTAAGTGAGACAGAATCAGATTTTAATGCACTCTGAGCTATTATTACCCTTGTTCTGGTCTGTGACTTGTGGAAGAACCAATGAGGTGACAGTTGCAGTGCCCCATTTATTTTAGCCATCCTTCATGTATCTCATACAGAAGCTGTTCCCTCTATGCCAGAGCAGTTCCCTGACATGACCAGGCCTGAGGCAGTTCTCTCCTATTAACTTGTGTGATGCAAGAAGGTGAGTACAGCATGGTGCATCTTCAATTGGGTTGGGCTGATTTCCATTCAGATGCAGTTCCCACTTGTGCTGCTCTGTGAGGCTTGATAATAACTTTTATTTTTTTTAGTTTGCCTAAATAAATTCTTTTAAATATAAAAATTAAAGGTCAGGTGATAACCTGAAAAGTAACAAAGACTTAGCATGCCTGAGTACTGCTGATTTCCTCTAATTTACATAGACTACAGTACATTGCTTTTCTAGGGGAAGCTGTCCCTGTAAAGGAAAACTCCAAACTCAGAGCTAGTTCAACATACTTGAATCAAGTAAGTCAGTCCTGCCTAATTTATGAAATAAGCAAGATTAAACAGAGCTGGTTCCTAAGAGTATACATTTCCTGTTTTATTTACTAAAGGATGTAGACAGAAAATAAGCTTTACGTATAACCAGAGGCTCAGTACCTGGCTGTAGAGTCCTCCTCTGCCTATCAGGACCCCCATGTCTTTACAGTCCTCCAAGATCTGACTGACTTCTTCAGTTGGAAGAGGGTGGCGATGGTCCTACGGAAAGCAAAGATTAAACTTCACTTCGATATTCTAAATTAGTTCTATGAAAAGGAGGTATATTCCAGTCTTTCCAATAAACCTCACCCCATCTCTGGCTGTAATCTGCTTTCTAAGATGAGTTTATGCAATTAAGGCGCACAAGTCACTGTTTACTCAAAACTTGTGAAGTACTTGAAATGCTGGAATGTTCTGTCTCGTTTTTAGCCAGAGCAATGTTTTCTCCCTTCATTAGCTGTTTTTGAATAGACAATCTTTCTATTCTTTCAACTGGAATAAAATGTGAAAAATCTTTCAATGGCACTGAAAGGAGTAAATGAAGTCACTAACCTTATCTGTCACCATTTCTACTCCGATCATAAGTCCCTTGCCACGGACATCACCAACAATCTTGAATTTATCCCGTAGTTTAGCCAACTCCAGCAGCATGTATGTTCCCACATCCTCACTGTTTTTCTGTAGGCCATCTTCTTCAATAGCCTGGTTAAAATGACATACTGTGACAGTGTTGCAGGAAAAACTTCTAATAAAGTCTGTTAATCCCCATTTAGCTTGATGACACATTGTTTATCTCGCTTCTTTACAGAGTATGTTCCTTCACTACTACAGTCCTTACATTTCTCTTTCTTACAATCATCTAATGTCACTGGAGTTCAATTTAGCATAGTATTTTGTTGTTGATGTGGTGTTTTTTGCATTTTACTTATTACTCAATAAACATCATCATAGAATCATAGAATGGTTTGCTATGAAGGGACCTTAAAGCTCATCCAGTTCCAACCCACTGCCACGGGCAGGGACACCTTCCACCAGACCAGGCTGCTCCAAGCCCCGTCCAATCTGGCCTTGAACACTGCCAGGGATGGGGCAGCCGCAGCTTCTCTGGGCAACCTGTGCCTCTCCATCTTTCTTGTTGGCCCCTGTTGGGTATTCGAAGGCTGCTATAAGGTCTCCTCTAAACATAATCCAGTAATTCATGCTCACATGGAGTCACAATTGAAAAATACCTGACCACCAGATTATTTTCAAAATCTTACCAGAAATATTTTCATTCTTTCTCAGTATCATGACAAGAAAATAATTTGACAAGGCATACCTGTATTTACTGGGCAGCAATTTAGAGAACAACCTGAGTGTTGTAATTAGATTCACCAACACCATGCTTTTCAATCACCATCTTTGTTTTTCCTCTCCTCTCTGACATGCAGCCAGCTACCAGCCCTGACACATACAAACCGTTTTATGAACTCAATATTTATGTTAAGGAAATTCACAGTAAAAACAAAAACAACCCAAAATACAATTACAGAAGTTGAAGTGGGTGTTTTCCTTTTTTTTCCCTTTTTTTTTTTTTTCTTTAAATTTTCTCTCAACTCCATTTTATTCTTCCTGACTCTGCCAGCCTCCTCAGACCTATTTCAGATCCAGGCTCCAAGTTACTTTATAGCCAAAAAAGCGTTTTTTTCTGTTTTACCCCCAAAACATGGCTGTACTTGTAAACTGTTTTTTCAAAATCTTGTTATTTATACGATTAACCATCTTATAAAATAGCTAAAGAGAACCCTAAAATATTCAGAAAAGTAATGTGAATAGAAACAGTATCTGCTGTAATGAAGTGACGTTCGAGGACATACGGTCTGTACATGATAAAAACAAATTGAATAGCAATGTACTGGCCACTGCCTGATTTTCTGCTGGATGACAACTGAAATATGTTGCAGCTTTGTTCTACTGTCTTTTTAATGAAGGATTTTTTCTCTTTTTTCCTTCGGAAGGAATTTTGACTTTAAATATTTTTAACTATCTGGTCATTACAGCTTTTTAGGCATAAGGTAAAAGCTGTGGAGTTGAAAACAATTTTGCTTAGCATGTGTGCCAGAGAATACCTTTGGTTTAGCTGATAATTTGTGTAATCCTATGGAAGAGTTGGCTAAGGTTTTGAGAAGGCACTTTCCTACCTGTTTATAAAGGAGACAGAGAAGGCAATTCTGAAAACATAGTAAGAGGGCTTCTATTCTTTTTAGAGGGATGAAAATCCTGCAGTGGAATTAATCAGGGATTTTTCCTACATGTAGGGCGTATTAGTCATGTATGCATAATACATGCATATGTTTATGCACTTTATACAGTAATTTAAAAAGATGCCCACATATAACTTTATAGTAAGAATAAATGTAAACATTTTTCATCTTTTGCTGCAAGATAAAGTAGCAATATGTAGTATATATTAAACATATATAGTGAAATATATAAATTTATACAACATTCTGCCTACATCAAGAACTGCAGCTCCAACTGTGCAAGCCAAAGGGTTTCCTCCAAATGTATTAACATGAAGGTTTTGAGCCAAGGAACTTGCAATCTCTAGAAGAAAAAGAACAATATTGATTACTCTTACAGCTGCCTTATGTTTGGTAACAGTACTTATGTGCTTTAACGGTTACATTTGCTGTGCTTCAAGCTTGATTCTACTGGAGACAACACAATACAAAGATTTTATTTTTTTCTTGCAAGTATTCTGCACAAAATGTAACTATTCCCAAAACCTATAGTGTCTAGCAGATGGTAAAAACAGACTTCTTTTAAAAAAAAGTCACACTTCTAACATGTTGTCAACTTTCCCCGTAAACTGACATCTACAAATCTCCTTTACTAGATTCAGCCAGTCATTTGTAAGAACGAAGCAGCTGGCCTTACAAAC